AGAATTGTACCTAGGGTGTAGTGCAGCAAGTGCTCTACCACAGTGCTGTAGCACAAGCCCTATTTTGATACTGGGTCTCCCTAAGTGGCCCAGAATGGCCTCTAACGCTTACATCAGGAGTGTTACTTCAGCCTCCTGAACAGGACAGTTGGATCAACAGACAGGTAGTTGAGATTACGGGCTCAGGCTCAGCATGATTTTCTTCTTGTTACTGACCCTGCATCCCTGCAAGCTATTCCTGGAGGTCATTTGAAGTTGTCTTCTACACAGCTGGGAAATGTGGGGTGGATAACTGCTCCTGTGACAATTTGAAATTTACCAAAATTTAGTTTAATTTGCTATTTAAACCTTTCTCTGGAAATGGAAATCCATCAGTAAACTTGAGTCCTCATATACCTGCATCAGAGAGATTCTGCCAGGGAAATTGTTGTCGTGTGTGCTGCCATATTCTTTGAATCTTATGCCCTGTCCTTTTGAATTAATATATTACTTAGGCCTCATCTCAAATGTTACCTATTCAGAAAATGTCCTTACTTTTTTTGTTGACCATACTGCTACGTGAAGTCTTCTTTTTAAATTGTGTTTCAGAATTGTGGAAATGCTACACTGTGATTTGTTTTATTGCTTTAACAACTTATTAAGAGTTGAGTCACAAAAAAGTGAAAACAAATTGAACAGTGTCATCTTTTGTTCTCTCACTTCCTATTCCATATATAATAAAATCTTCCAAAGCTCCCCTTTGAGCTTTTTCCAGAAAGATAAAACAATGCTGGTCTCTTTTGTCATGAGGACCTTAACACCACACATCTTCACTTGGGTGTGGACTTCTCAGCACTGTGCTGAGACACCACCCCAGTATTTATTGTAGGTGATGGTCAGTTTAAAATATTCGCTGTGTGCCTTTATTGAGCAGGTAATGAGGCAGGTTAGGGAGAACAAGAACAAGTGAAATGGAAATGTTCCCCACCCAAGATATCATAATATATCTGAAAAAATATTTTACATGAACAATTTAAATCAGGAGACCTGAGTCTCAGCTGGTTGCACCCAGGTGACAGTTAAGAGAACCTAGAGGGACAGGTATCGAGACAGGGTTAGGATTTAGCAACACCAGTGACTGCATGCAACTGGAGTGGTAGGTCTGAGGCTGAGATTTCAACTTCCAGGCAGAGATCACCTGGTTACAACTGTTAACAGGGAAGGTCAAGGAGCCTGTGAAGTTAAAAATGGAGATGTCACACTTCATTAGTTGTTTCCCCTAACACCTCGCTAGGGTAAAAAAAAGATAAGTGTACTCCAGTCTCTTTCTTCTCAAAGGTACAACAGTAATTTGCCAGTTTTAAAGTCTATATGGCCAAGCATGGTGGCACATGCCTGTAATCCCAGCACTAAGGAGGCTGAAGCAGGAGAATTGCAGCGAGTTAGAGGGCAGCCTGGGTTACACAGTGAGTTCAAGGCGACTCTGAACTATATAGTGAGACCCTATCTCAAACAAAAAGGTCCATATGAACTCTCTTAGTAGTTTCCTCTTGTATTTTTTGCAAAAACACAGGAAGCACCAGTGACTGTCCTTGTTCCTTATTAAAACAATGTGATTTGAGATGACTTGCTCTACTAACTCCAGGGCACAGTGTCTCTTAGGTGAATCTTAAAGTTTTGAAGGAAGGAAGTTTCCACACTAGGATTTGGGCACAGAAGAGCATGGTGAGCTCCAAGTTAAGTCCTCAGGGGCCCCTGCCTAGTTCTAGGAAATAATGCACTCTGGGGCTCCATTTAGCATCTGCTCATCTGTCAAACTGAGTTAAATCTTCCTTTTGACCTTGTGTGAACCAGGGTGCTTGTATAAGCAAGTTCAAACACTGGCTTATTTTCTCTCTGGATTCCTTCATTGTATTCCTCATTCGAATGTTTTTATTGTCTTGAGGTAAAATGTGTGCATGATAGACAAGGTATGAGAAAGCCCTGGCCATGGCATCAACTACTTCATCCCCATTCCTGAAGGGTGACTCTCTCTCTCTCTCTCTCTCTCTCTCTCTCTCTCTCTCTCTCTCTCTCTCTCTCTCTGTGTGTGTGTGTGTGTGTGTGTGTGTGTGTGTGTGTCCGTTTCTCTCCCCACCCTGTCTATCCTCTTGGTCCTGCAAAGCCTAGTTTCCCCTCTTTCTCTGAGAGGAGGGTTTCTTTCCAGGGTGTTACTGGACAGATGGTCTCTGTCCCACTGGATATCCAGCGTCTTTGTATCCCTAAGAATTGAGCCAGACACACAGAAGCAACAAAAAAAGCACAAGTTTGTTAACGTGAAAGCACACGCTGCACAGCAGGTAAGAGCAACAGCGAGCCTGAGTCAGGGTGGCCCCATCTGCTTAGGTTCTGAGGTTCTTATGAGGGACTTTGTTGGGCTGTAGAATCTGTTGTGGTACCTAAGGGGGTCTTTTACAATAAATAGTGAGTCTCCACCCTCATGTTGGGAATTTTTGAAATTACATGGGCCTAGAACCATCATGACAATCCAAGCCTCTTTGGGGGCCAAAACCAGAATGTTGATGACACTGTCGTAATCATGGGCTCACCTAGGATGACATTTTAAAATTTTTATTATTAGTACATGTTTGCAGTACATAATGATTACAATCAGCATGGGAACTTGTTACATGTACATTATACATCTTAGTTCTTTTTATATTTCCCCTCCCAAAGTGACTGTAGGATAGTTAGAGCTCATACTCCACAGTCTCATGCTGCGGGTAAAGGGAGCATGGTCAGGGCAGAATGCTCTTGTGGTCTCCAAAACTAGTGAGACATCTTGCTTGCTATGAGCCTACTGCCAAGATGTTTCCCATACTGTCTACCTTCTGCCTTAATGGGACACTGAATCTGGAAATTCCAGAACAGATTAATGACATAATTTCAGAGAAAATGGAGGAAGGATGCCACTGAGTATAGTATTGGAAGAAGCCAGTGTCCACTTCATAAATCTAGGAGCTAGTTCAGCTTAATGCTGTTATCCTCTACTTATCCTCTAGCATGGTGTTACCAGACACTCAGGGGCTGGAAGACATCCCAGGACACACAGAAAAAGTGGAAGTGAGGCTGGAGGCAACTAAGGAAATGGGTTGGAGAAAGGAGGGAGGGCCCACCTTGGAGCCTCTTTTCTGGGTCTCCATTTAGCATCTGCTCATCTGTCAGGGTTCACCTTCTGTGTTAAACATTAGCGCAGGACCTGGATGCCCAGGTCTAAGTATGATGGGGTAACCAGGTAACTAGGCTTACACATACAAGTACCCAGGCATGTACCCAGAGGTCTTCAGCAACCCTTGGCCAACCCCAGCCCTAACTTCCACTAATTACCATGTCATTGACTATGCAGTTTTGATCCTACCACCCTCCACCTCTAGCTTCAATCACTAGGACAGTTCCTGCAAGGGCCATACAAGATCAAAACTCTACCACCCAAATGAAAGGAAAGCCAAACACCAAGCCTCCTGGCTGGCACTGTCTCGCTGGCCTGCTCCCACCTTGTGGGCTGTGCTTGCCCATTCAGCAAGTCTTTGATCATACTCCTCTTTTTGAGTGTCCTCTCACTTCTTCATTCAGGACATGAAGAACTTGGAGGACCCCTGATCAATGACCAAAGCAGCACAAGTTTACTGACATGAAAGCACACTGTCCAGGACAAAGTAGCACCAGTGCCTCCCAGGGGTCTCTTCAGGGAGGGAGCTCCTCTAAGTCCCTGTGAACCACTCCAGGTAGGGACCAAGTCTCCTCTTGTTGAGGCAGGAGGCCAGGGCATGGCCAAGGTCAGCATAAGGAATGGGTGACATAAAAAGTACCACTGCCACTGAGTGCTTTGCCACTGGGTTCCTTCCCAGTAGTCCACCCTCCCACTGTAGGGTTAACTGGTTTTTCCTACTTTTATTTGGCCCAAACTGGTGCTGCAGAGCCTGTTTCTTTTCCTACCTTTAATGAATGTAAAATTTTGTGACTGTTTGTTAGAAATGTGCCCCCAAACTCAGATTGTTGGTGCCAGAAAGAACTCACTCAGACTTGACAGGGGAAAGTTTAAAGTTTACTTCTGCAAAAGGGTACCAGTGTAGTCAACACAGGAGGCAGCAAGCATGCTCTGTGGTGTGGAAGCCTTTTTTCTCATTGGCTGGATTGAAGGATAAGAGTCTTTCCTGATTGGTTAGTTTAAGAGGCTGAAGGGGAGGATCTGAAGGATTGCTGACGGGAGGAGGAGTGGGAGGGGAGAGGGTGTTGGGGAACAAAAAGTCTTTGGCTGTTGAGCTGTCTTTGGTCTGTAGCTATGTTTCCAAAATCTAGGCGTTTCTGTAATTTCAGTGTGAGGGCTAGGGCTGCCCAGGGTGGACTAGAGTCTAAGAGAAGGCACTCCTGTCCATATCTTGAAAGAAAAGTCAGGACTGCAGTTTCTCACACGTTCGTGCTTGTCCTGACCAAGTCTTTGTTCAGGACAGAAAGAACCTAGAAATCACCTTGAGAAGAGGATACCAGCACCCCAAAACTGGGTCACACTGTCTGCTGAAGGTGGTGTTTTTGTCCTCATGGGGACCTTTGTGGAACTATCTTGGCCCCTGAAGGCCATGGGGGCAAGGTCAAAACCACAATGCAAATAAAATTATAATACCTTGGGGTCACTTCTGGGTGTGCAAGATGGCTCACAGCGCATGCGTACCCTCCACCAGATGTTTAGGAAACAACCGGTTCTGGGGAGCCGGGTTCCTTTCTCACTCTGCCTTTCAGGCCTCATCAGGGACTTCCTCCTTCTACGTCCTGACTCACTGGACCTGGCGTGCGCAGGAAGAATCCCTTGGCTTTTCTGACAGCTGAGACTGTAATCGGTACTCTCACTGGCACGACCGAAGTGTGCCATAACTTTCCTGTCACCCAGAATGGTCTGGAATTTTGGCCAATCAGCGGCACTGTACTAGCTGTCCAATCAGAAGCGCTGTTGAATAGAGGTGCGCGCCCTAGCCAATCTCGCGAGATTATCTTTCCACGGCCATCCGGAACTTGTTATGAGTTGCTGGGTCCGAGGCCGTCTTCATGGTGTGGGCTGCGGTGTCCGTGAGGAGGACTCCTGGGATCTGGGAATGGTGAGTGCCGCTGGGGGCGGTCGGGAGACGGTAGCGTCGGGACCGCGGCGGGCAGGGTTAGTCAGCGCGGGACGGGGCTGCGCCGCGCGGGGCTCCGCAGGGAGGCCAGCCCCGGAGGCGAGCACCGACTGGTGAGGGCAGAAAGACGAGCCGGGACAGAGGGGTTTCGGGCAGCGCCTTCATCCCCTCGAGGCCACCGTATTTGAGTCGGGGCGGGGTGCGGAGCTCGGCCGGAAGTGAAGTGGAGGACCTGAGTTTTAGCGAGCTGAGCGAGGGTCGGGCCGCTAGGTGGGGCTCTAAGGTAACGCTTCAGCCTTCTGCAGTGCAAGGAGAGGAGGGGAAGTAGTATATAAACGGGGCGGGGGTGTTGGGCGCTGTTCTCCAGCTCTTTCTGCGTTGTTGGGGGTTGTTCAGGTTTGCATTTCTTCCCACTGGTGAGGGATTTGTCGGTGTCTGAGTTTTGTGAGTAGCAGGGTGTTGTCCACCTGGTTTTGCGTGAGATTTGGGGCTGGTGTTGGATGAAGTGTAGGGTCTGCCTGGCCCTGAATCTTGACTGGGCGTTGTGAGATTTTATCAAGGCTTTTCTGTGGGCCCTGTGGTAAGCTTTGGTAGACGAGGAGAGGAGTGGTCAGTCCCACTGAGGTAGAACAAATAAAAGACAGAAAGGAGACAAGGAACCACAACTGAAAATTGTATTTTTAAAAACTCTGCAGCTTCCAAAACACAGCCGAAATTTCCTAAGGCCATAAATTGGCTCGATTAAGAAAGTAAGGACTAGGAGCCTGGTCCTGAGATAAGGACAGCCTCAATGTCAACAGTCCTTGGCTGGATTTACACTTGTCCCTACCAGACCCATCGTTAAAAGACCAGAAGTTGGCCCAATTAGGAAAGCGGGTGAGGAGGGGTACTAGAAAGGAATGTGTGTAAATTGTTTTTAAGGTATAAGACAGAGGCTTGGTACAAAGTGGTTTGGAGATAAAGCCGTCAGCCACCATAATAGAGACGGGTCCTCTAATGAAGGTCCCTCATCTTTCCATAAAACTGAAAATGTCACTTATATCCAAACAAAAGAGATCAGCTTACCTGCTACTATTAGACAACCCTAGGCTCTTTTGTAGTGATGGAGACAGCAGGAGTTTCAGAACGAGGGCCTAGTTCAGCTGTCAGCAGCAAGTCCTCTCTTGTTCTGAAGGCATTGTGGATTAATCCTCATTTATTACTGTCTCTCATTGTCCCTGTACTGTTCCAGTTGTTGGTCTTATCTCATCCCATAGTGGGGGGAAAGTAATTGATGATTTAGAGTAAGTCATGTAGCCTTTTAGTATCAGCAGAAAGTGAAAAAAGAGCAAAGACCTCAACCTTTTGGCTAGGACTGTCAACCCTTTAAAACTTTATGTGGGCTTGCATAACAAATTTTCTTAGTGCACATAGAAAGCAACAAGAGATCAGTTTAACCCTGTAATTGTAGTTTAGAATTATCCCAAAACTGTTTATAAAAAATGCTTTAGTCCCATATATCCAATAAAATTTTTAACTTAAAGAATTTAAATGTGAATTTACCCATCAAAGATGTTTCACTTATGGGCCCTCATTACCATTTTTATAGGCTGTCCTGAAGGTATTTTCTCTTGGCATCCTGAGATAGGAGTTAACTTTAGATTATTATTTGTCAGAATCCAGGGTAGGCTGTGTGTAACCCAAGAGCTTCTTGTTAGCTGGTATTTGGCCTTTTATTTTGACTGTCTGTACGATGTTGAGTTTAGACTTAAGCCTGAGTTCAGACTGATGGTTCAGACCTTGGGCAATTACCTAAAATTAGGATGTTTTGCCCAGGATGGATTAGAATAACCCTTTTTCTTTTAGCTTAGTTTGTAATATCTCTGTTATTCTAACACTATAAAGTTACACCAAGGCAGAAAGGGCATCAGAGAATGGAGAGGGAGAGAGAATGGAGAGGGAGAGAGACTGGAGGCTAAACTGGGGCTGGAGGGTGGCCAAAATCCCGATGTGTTTTACTTTGGAAGAGGTTAAAGAGAGAGCAGGGAACATAAATGTGGATAATGTTTTTTGCCCCAGCATGTCATGGAGGGAGAGGACAGAGGCCAGCTGGGGTTCTGGTTTTGGAGGGAGTTGTTGGGAAGAAGAGCAGGTAGTGGACAGAGAAGGAGGGTGAAGAGGGAAGAGAGAGGGATGGAAGGAGGCCCTGGTGGTGAGGTTGGAGAGGAAGGGGCTGAGGTTGAGGGGTGTGTGGCACTGAGGGCATGTGGATGGTGGATCACATTTAGGTTTAAGGGTAGAGTTGGAGTCAGGTCTGGGTTAATCATGAAGAGTACAGGACTGACAGAGAGTACCTATGATGGTGAAAGAAAGCCTGCACATAAGAAAGTTTGGACCACTTGCCATTGCACCGGGTGAATCTGAGTCTCAAAGAGTTCAGCAGACAAAGTGCTTCTGTTCAAGTTACTGATCATTATTTTCTAATAGGTACTGTGGCGAAACTGTTACAAATAAAATAAGTTTTTTGGTTTTTAAGATGTTTAAGGAGACAGAACAGAGGTGAGTCTTTGAGCACTCGGGGCTGCACTGGAGTTGACTGTGATGGAGTGACTGAGACCTCTAGGAGGATGGAAGAGAAAACAGCAGAGACACGGGCATCCCTGTTCTCTGAGCATGCTCACAGTAACAGGGGCCACCACCAGGAAACCAGTGTCCCAGGCTTCCTCAGGGGCCAGGCCAAAGGGACAGTACCCAGGCCAGGGAAAGACCAAGGTTTTTAGATGGACAGAAGACAAGGGACAAGGTCCTCTGGAGGAGACCCGGAGACACACCAGCACTTGGCAGGTGCCGTATGGAAGAATGACAACGGCAAGGGCAGCCTTTATGCCTCAGTGGCCTCCCAAAGGTCTCCCTGGTCTTTGCACCAAGATGTCAGGTGAGTTGAAGACCCAGAAACAACCAGTGGTGGCAGAAAGACGTGTTAGGGCAACAGCATGTTGAGGGTCTGCAGGAGACTGCAGCATCCCCACCCCTAAAGGCACGGTGGCTGCATTGAAGTCTGGGGTAGGGAGTGAATTGGAGGACCTAACTTAGTTTTTTGAGCAAGAATTGAAACCTAGATTAAAAATTGGGCTATTAGGGGGAGTTTATCTAAGCTAACACCTGAGAAAGAAAAAACTTTAAATACAGGGTGTCCTGTGTTTCCCAGGCTGGCCTCGAACTCAGAATCCTGCCACAGCCTTTGAGTGGCTGGAACGAAGACTCCATCACCCAAGCCTCTCCTGAGATTCTGAGTAGAGGATGCAGAGTCTCAGCTCCTTCTGGGTCCGAGTCTGTGGCCCACCTGGATGGACGGGTCAGGCCCACTGTCAGCGCCTGAGGTGGCCAGAGAGAGGGAGAGCGGGAGAGAGCTGCACAGACTGCCTCCTATAGCAGGTAACTCGCTGTGAGTCACTCACCAGCCCAGGAATCAGACGGACAGAGTGGTCTTGGAGGAGGGCTAAGCTCTAATCTCATTTCAGAGGTCTACCTGGTCACACCTCCTAAAATCTAGTGGAGATTGAATTTCCCAAAGGACAAACCACATTCAACCCATTGCAGGAGAAAGGGTCCCCTTGCTGGGGTTGTGCTTGTTGTTTCTGGACATTGTTTTTAGGAAAGGAAATGCCAGTTGAGGTAGATGACTTTATCTGAAAGGAGGGTTGCAATAGAGGGAAGGCCCCAAATGTAAGTTCTTTAAGCATCTCAGGTGTTAGAAAGGGGCCTTTCTTTTGCAAGGAAGAGCAAACAAGAGTAGAGAGAAGGTGGGAGAAGCCACGGTTCTTGGCATTTGCATGTAATCACAGCACTTTGGGAGGCTGAGGCAGAATTGTGAGTTGAAGGCCAGGCTGAGCTATTTAGTGAGACCCTGCCTCAAAAAAAAGCAGATAGGAGGAGGGGGATGATGCTTAGTGGCCACCTCAGCTCCTAGACCACAGAATGATTTCCCCTAGGTTCAGCCTGCCCTCATGGTGGCGATCTGGAAGGGGCTGTGTGCTACTGACCCTGGCTGAGCGGGGCTCAAGAGTCACAGGTGTGAGAGAGAGCGTCAGGGCTGTTATGTTCATGTGTGCTTTGTTCCTGCTGGCAAGTTCAGCTGTTCCTAAGGTGAAGAACAGGAATTTGAAAAGCCGGTCTGCCTTGTCCTTTTAAAAAGGGCCACTAACTCCGTGTAGTAGGAAAGATGTGTCCTTGCAGGCAGCTGCTCCTCCAGGATGAAAGCTCTGGGTGGAGCGAGTTCAGCGTCTTCAGCTGTTTTCTGGAGCTGCTCTAGTGACTGCAGTTCGTGGCAGTTGAGAAAGCCTGTGAGGGTCTGGTGCAGAAAAAGAGGCCTTTGCATTTTTCCTGTTGGGAAAGGGTTTAGGAATATGAGAGTTTATTTGAGTCTGTGGTGTAATAACATATATTTGGTCTTTGGCCCCAATATCTGGCCCTGAGGTCCTATGACCTTAGACTTTCGTGGCTGACTGGTTCGTAACAAGCTCCAGTCAGGAAATGAGTGAGTTGGTGGCAGTGAAGTATCTCGGGGTGCTGTAGTTAGTTTCAGGTTGGGGCTGGTGACCTGACATTGTAAACACTGTGTGGTGCTTTGGACTGGCGTCCACAGTGGGAGCACAGTGCAGGACCCTGGGCTTTGGGGTCTCTGCTAACTCTGCAGGGTGTCGTAACTGCGTTGTTGGCCACCTGTTTGGTGTTGGAGACTTGGCTGGTTTCAGGAAGCACCACACATTCTGTGTCAGCAGTGATGTGAGAAGACACTGAAAGTCAGCCCCTTGCAGGCTGCCTGCTCAGTGCATAGGGTGAGCGCAGGTTCTGGCGGAAGATGCCTGTTTCGTGCTGAGAGGGGAGAGTAGGGCGTGTGTGCTCCTGAAACTTTTGGCTTCTCGAGTTTTGTCACCACTACCTCAGTGTGAGCCACCTTTTGCTACCTCCCTACTAGTAGAAGGTTCTCCAGGCATGGGTTATGTTTGTAATACTACTGTATTCGCAAGAGGGTGAAGCAGGCTGCTTTTTAAAGCTTTTTTCTTTCCTTTCCTTAGTAGAATCTTGTTGCCATAAAGTTTACATAAGCATTCAGGCATTTTATTTCATGATTTGAGCACAAGATTGTGATTTTCTCATTTGGAATTTTGGTGGATATAGTGATAAGATCTGAAGACTCCCAAGAGAATTATTTGTTTATACTAAGTTTAAATAAGTACATATATGCACTTTTCGGTATCACCGTGCGGATAAAACTAGCCATGATCACATGAAACTGGTATAATGCACCTCTGCACCCAGCGCCATCTGTAGGGTTTTCTTTATAACATACCTTCTCTTTTTCATGAAGTAAAAGGTTTACCTGGTATTGCCTCTTGAATTTGGAAGGATCCAATACCCAGCTAATACACTACTATGCATGTTATGCATAGAAGCGATGTTTGTAGTTTCCTTCCTTTGCTCTGTTGGACCTCTGATGCAGGCGAGGCTTTTTATCTTTTTCCCTTTCCCTTTCCTTTTCCCTTTCCAGCTTGCTGTGTAGTTTTGGGTGGCCATGAGCTCACTATGTAGCTCCAGCTGGCCTTGAACTCACATATCAGCCATTTCTTTCACTCATTTCCCTGCTTATGGGATTAGATTTTTTGAAGATTATTTTTTGATGTTTTTGACAACATCATTCTTGATTTTTCTGCAAATGTTAATGCTTTATAAATTTTTGCACAGTATGAGTCACTGACTCGTGTGTTAACTTCTCATTTGGTGTTACCGTTCCTATATGTACATTCATTTATTGTGTGATTTATCAATTCTTGGGATAATCTGAGTTACGGTGTTTCACAGCATCTCTGTGTGATTATATGTTGCTTTATATCAGTGACCACTGGTGATGAGCATTATTTCTAGAGGGACCTTTCTCATTTTCTGTGAAATCCTTTCCATTTTGTTTTGTTTTGGTTGTTTGGTTTGGTTTTCTATTTGTTTCTCCTGTGCCATGTAACTGGCATGTTTTCATTGAACATCCATTTCTTCACTGCCATGTAGCAAAATTATGTACTTTTGTATGTTGACTTCATGTTGAACAAACTTGGTACTAGGTTTTTTTGTTGGTTCTTTGGGATTTTCTACACAGTCGTATATCTACTGCCAATGACAAGTTTATTTCTTGCTTGTCGTTCTCAATAATACTTTTATATTTCTTTCTTGCTTTCTGGTCATTCTGTATATATTGTTAATGATCTTAGGAATTGTGTTCTTTAGTTTGTGGAAGTGATGGATTACATTAATTCCTTTCTCAATGTTTTCGTAGTTCTTACTTGGTCCTCGTTTATAGTTCCTGTTATAAGTTGTTATGTAGGAGTTGGTATTATTTGTGAAGTATTCTGTGTCTGTGTTCAGAAGAGGACTTGATCTACTATATTTTACCTTGTCTGACCTTTATTCAATTTTGGTATCATTGTAGTTTTGCTTCATAGCATAAAATGTTACCTCTTCTGTTTCCTGGAAGACATTGTGGGAAATTGGTGTGACTTCTTCCATGTTAGACAGAGTAAATCATTGTATTCTTGTGGGCCTTGCCCTTTTTGTTTTGGATAGTTACTTCTTACTGTTTTAACGTCTTTAATACATATACTTCAATTTGTATTGTCTCAGCTGGTGTGCTTTTAAGTAAATTGTTGCTTAGCACAGATCAGTTCATTTCACCCAGGTTGTTAAGTTTATGGGCGTGGAATTCTTCATAATACTCATTTATTGTCCCTTTAAGGTCCACGGAAGTAGTGTCTACTGCCTGTGTTTCATTTCTGATGTTCGTAATTTGTATGTTCTCTGCTCTTTTAGTTATTTTGCCTGAGTTTTTATTAGTTTTATTGATCTTTTAAGAGAATTGGGTTTTAGTTTCATTAATACCCTCTTGGTTTCTTCTCTGTAATTTTATTGATGTCTTTACTAACCATTATTTCTTTCTCCTTGATTTGGCTTGTCTTAGTCTTCCTTGGGTTTGCAGGAGTGGAGACTTAGTGGGGAATTAGTTTATTGCATTTAGGTCATTCTCCTCTTCATTAGATTAGGAGTCACCTATGTACTGCCTTTCCCTCATCCCACAGATTTGGTTAAAATGACTCACTTATTTTTATGTGTTTTTAAAATATTTTATTTCTTATGTGACTTGTTTTTGACTTGTATTATGTAGATGTTTGTGGGTTAATCTCCAGTTGGATGGAGCTATCCATGTGCTCCATTTAATTTCTAATATAGGAGGAGAGGATTTTATATGTTGCTATTCCTTTACATTTGTTAAAGTGTATTTTGTAACTTAGAACATAGTCTGTGTGGGTGAATATTCTATATGATTTAAAAATGAATGTGTGTTCTTTTTTAGGTGGAGTATTAATAACATAGATCAATAATTTTCGTTTTTGGTGCTGCTAGTTTTTGCCTCATATAATTTTGATGCTCTCTGTATGGGAATGTACATTAAGGATTGAGAACTGACTGCTTTGTCATTATTTAATCCCTATATTGCTTCCTTTTGTTTCCTTGAGGTACTCCTACCTGATCAGTCTGAAGCTGTTAGGTTTCTTTCAGATAGTGCTAGAAGTGTATCTGTCTGCATAACTTAATACTTAATCTTTGTTGTTATCCTATTTTTAAAATGTTTACCTACTTAAATGTTAAAAGGTTTAATTGACATAAAATCAAATGCATTGATAAGTTGAAATATGATGCTTGTACAGATTTTGAAGTGGTTGAACTGAGCTAATTTTCCAATTCCATTAGTTCATGTGTCTGTAAGTTTTTCTGATGTAACACTGAAAATGTAATCTTTTGGTATTTTCCAGTGAACAATACAAAGGTAGTAACTATACCTTCCATGTTGTGTAATGGATCTCTTGAAGTTGTCCTTCCTATCCACCTGAAATTCTGAAACCTTTGAATAGTACCTCCCTAACTCTCCCTTCAATATATCTATCTTTAAAATGTTTTTTCAGGTAGAGCACAAAAAGTGACATCTTTTCTAATGGACTATCACTCTTTTTTGTTTGTTGATTTGGTTTGGTTCGGTTCTTTGAGAGGGAATCGTGCTATGTGTATAGGGCAGGCTAGCCTTGAACTCGCTGAGTAGCCCAGGATGGCCTCAAACTCGTGGCAATCCTGCTTCAGCCTCCTCAGTACTGGAATTCTGTGTGTGCCACCATCCTGGGCTTGTGGGGTTTTTTACTTTAATTGGTACGTATTTAGATAATTCACAGTTAAAGTGATTAGTGATATATTTAGATTACATGTACTATATTGTGACTTACCACAGCAATTTTTCTCTTGTCTCCATTGTGGGAACCTGATAGGATGTCTGGAGGTAAAACTTACATACACATCCACTTAAAACTAGACATTCTGTATTTTTTACCCGACTATAGCATTTTATCAGGGACAGTTTAGGGTTCTTTTCTTTTGTTCTTCTGGGCTTCCATCCAGAGGGTTCTCTTGGTCTGCCTTTTTCACTACTTTGGGGACAGTGCTTTGCCTATTGACCTTAGTTGTCCTGGGGTTTTGTTTAAGTTGTCTTGATATTTCTCCATTCTCTTTTAAATCATTTTATACTGTTGGGTTTTTTCTTCCTTTGGGACATCAAATATACTTGTTTCCTACAAGTTTTTAGTCATTTCACAGTGTCAGCGATATCCATTCACAACTAATCTAGTTTTTGGTAAGGCTGACATAAGTGACTCTGTCTTGATTTTGACAACCCTAAAGCTTTCTTTGTATTTCTCCTTTGTCTTTGTGATTGTCTCTCTGGAGACATTGCTGATGTGTCATCCTGTAGTTACATTGTTAGCATCCCCCATTAGTGTACTGCAGTTCTTGTTGCTGGCCTTATTTTATCCCACAGAAAAGATCTGGAGAGGACATGAGTGTGAACAGAGAGAAAGAATACAACCACCAAGTTGTGTAGTAAATGTTTGAGATTCACAGCATCATGTGAATTCCTCCTAAATTGAATATAGATCACTGCTGCTGTCAGTCTCACTGTTCCTTCTGAAACATATTTGGGATGTTTTAGGAGTCAGTGACCTTTGAGGATGTGGCTGTGAACTTCACCCAGGAGGAATGGACTTTGCTGAAGCCTTCCCAGAAGAATCTCTACAGAGCTGTGATGCGGGAGACCGTCTGGAACCTGGCCTGTATAGGTAAGGGGAACCTCACCTCTTATTTAGAGAATAAATATTTCTTGCTCACCAGTGCTGTTCAAAAAGTGTTAGAATATGAGAAACAAACATTTTGGAGAAAAAATTTGGCATGGTCACACTAGAATATGCACCTGGAATGTAGCAATTTTTATATAATACAATTATTTATCATAATTTTCTGGTGTCTGCATTTTAGGTCAAAAATGGCAATTCCAGACCGTTGAAGATAAAAACAAAACTCTCAACAGAAACCTAAGGTAACTTCCACTCACAAGAGAAAGCATTGTTCCTCACAAAATTTGGAGTGACAGGAAATATTTTTTAAAAGCATAAAAAACAGTCCCTCCTTCAAAATGATTTCCTCTCAGCATTTTTTCCTTAAACTACGTACAGATTGAGCGTCCTTATTCCAAACCATTCAAAATCCTAAATGCTGCAATGTCCTAAACTCTTGAGCACCAACAAGATGCCACAAGTGGTATGTTCAGATTGTTCAATGTATACAAATTTTGTTACATGCCTAGAATTATTTAAAATGTATACAGCTACTTTTAGGCTTTCCATATAAGGAGCATATAAAACAAATAAATTTTTTGTTTGCACTTGGCTTACATTTCCAGATATAATGTATATGCTGATACTTCAAAATCCAAAACACTTCCTCTGCCAAGCTTTTTTTAAAAGTAGAGTCTCGCTGGCTAGTTCAGGCTGGCTTTGAACTCACTGTGTAGCCCAGGCTGGCCTTGGACTTGTGGTGCTCCTCTTGCCTCAGCTTCCTAGTGCTGGGATTACAGTGCCACCACGCTCTGCCCTCCCATGCATTTCAGATGTGTGATTCTAAATCTGTATGTAAATGTAACTTAGATGTTCAGTGTTTGCACTGTAGTTACCTTGGAAACAGTACCAGGAAACCTCCATGACTGTCAGCGCTTTGATACACACCCTTTTCAAGCATTCAGTTCATTCAGGGATAAAGCTGACACATTTCTGATGACATTAAAATATAAATATAAATCTAGTACTTATTAGTAAATGTAAAGTCATAAGCAAGCCTCTTGGTAATGTGTTGCTCTTTTATTACAGACATCAAGTGCTATAGAGATTCTCTAAACACAGAGAAAGTAAACAACATGGAGAAACATTCAGCAAGACTCCAAATCATAGAGTGAACAAGAAAGCTTCTAGGGTAAAACAGTGTAAAAGCCATGTGTTGAAAGAAGTGGCCAGTAGTTTTTCAGTGGACATCATAATTAACAATGGACACAGGCCATCTGGATATCAGGAATGTACAGAGAGGCCCCATGAATGTAAAAAATGTGATAAAGCTTTTAAGTGGCCCTGTGACCTTCGAAATCATGAAAGGACTCACACCGGAGAAAAACCTTATGCATGTATGCAGTGTGGGAAAACCTTTGCTTGTTCCACCTACTTTCGAAGACATGCACAAATTCACACTGGAGAAAAACCCTACATATGCCAGCAATGTGGGAAGTCCTTCCGGTGTTTTAGTTTCCTTGAAATACATGAAAGAATCCACACTGGGGAGAAACCTTTTGCATGTAAGCACTGTGCAAAAGCCTTCACTCGTGCCAGTACTCTGCGAATACATGAAAGAAACCACAATGGAGAGAAACCTTATGTGTGTGAGCTATGTGGGAAAGCTTTCCAAGAGTACAGCAAAATGCTAAGGCATGGAAAAACTCACAATGGGGACAGACACTGTGCATGTGAGGAATGTGGGAGAGTCTTCAGGAGCTACGGTTACTTGCAAAATCATATAAGGACTCACACTCGCCAGAAACCCTAAATATAGAATGTGAGAAGCCTCTTTATCCCACAGCCACCATAGCACAAATGAGAATGCCTAGAGCAGGGGCCTCTTGTCAGGGTAGATTGAGGAAAGCCTCTAGCACCTGGGTTCCATTGACAGGGTTGAAAGAACACAGTACAGAGAAAAACGTTAGAACAGATGTGCAAAAATCTTTAGTTGGTCCTCACGTAAGAATGTATGCTGGATTGAAACCCTGTGAATGAGAAAAATATCAGAGAGATGCCAGTTGTAATAGTTTTGGGGTCCTGTAAAAGTTCTTGTCCTGAAAGCTTATGAATTTAAGTAATACAAAGAGCATAATGCCATACCTGACCTGAAGGAAACCTAAAATTTACGTTAATAATGCATCCATCATTGGTTCTCTTTTTGGGCAGAACATGTTTGAGCTAGTCAGATTACTGTCGTTAGGTAGCAGATTCTAGATGTTTCTTACATTTTGCATATTTTTATAACTGTGAATGTGCTTTGTTTTACCTGTTTTAGGACACATGTACAAAATACCTTTGTTTTGTCTTGATCTATCCTAATCTCTGAGGAGCATCATTTGATGCTGTGTGTAACTTCATAAGGTGCAACCTTGTAGATGTGAGGCCTACTGAATTCTCAGCCTTTTTTTTCCTTCTACTTATTATCTAAACACTAAATCATTTCCTGCAATGTATAAGTATACTGTTCTCCATAAATGCACATGCTCTTGAACCTAGGGTGGGATGACATTTCTATAAACCCATGGTGAGAAAATATTAAAACTTGAAGAAACAGTACACCTAACCCACTCGGCATCAATGGTGTGTCCTAAAATATGCTCATATGCTCACATCACTTAAAAAGCCCATGACTATGCAGAATCATCTAACAGGTCTGTGAAATGAAGAGGTGTTGCAAATGTCATATAATTTATTCAGTATAGGCAATGTGTCATGTGGATTGCTTACCTTCACGATCATGTGTGCTTCTGCCCAGCATCGTGAGAAATAGTTGGCACTACCACTGTCATGAAACTTTAATCTTGAAACTCTACTGGATGCATATCACTTTCCTATCATTGTTAATATCATAAGTCAAACCATCATTAGTTGATGATCATCCTTGATCATCCAGTTAAAATACAAACCTTGACTTAATCTTTAGCAAGCTGTATAATTCATCTGTTAATTCTCCTCTGAGGGTTTAAGGAGAGCAGTATGTTTAGGTAAACTGTCAGATTACCATCCTAGGAAGGGATAGAAAAGGTATCACTGTTGCAGTTAAGCTTTTATTCCTCAGAAGATATGCCTTTCGTGGTAATTTTTCAGCATCCTCACATGCTAGCTTCATAGATTAGAAACATACAGACTTAATCATGAATAACCCAGGCCTTCTGTGCTCTTAGTGTAGAGCTGTTTAAAAATGAGTTGCTGTCATGCTGGTACTTGCTTTTTTGGTAAGAAAAGTAAGGTGGCAAACAGATGGGAAATCTGGTGTTGTTAAGATGGACGTCTAAGCCTTGTGTAGTGACACACTTCCGTAATCCCTGCACTCAGGAGGCTAAGGCAGGAAGATTGCTGCAAGTTCAAGGCCAGCCTGAACTGCATAGTGAAACTGTCTCAAAAAAGACAGAAAAAGAAAGAAAAAAAGATGGACATCTAGAAGCTGTGCTGTCCTCTTTATGTGAAGTCAGTGTGTGAGCAAGTGAGGATGTCATTTTTCTCTTGTTTGCACACCATCCAGTTGTCACTCCAGGTTCAACAGCTGCTTAGCTATGGGTCTGACAATGTGGGGCCTGCAGAGAGGCCTGTTTTGGTGAGATTGATGGTCGTCATAGCCTTTATAAAAATTAAACAGGCATGGAGAATTAGCAGTAGCTGAGTCTCATTGCCTGTGATTATGAGACACTGAGGGCTGAGACTTCCCATTAATTTGGTATACAGGTTGTCTTGGTTACTTTTCTCTCACTGCTGGGACAAAATACCCAACACCCAAAATTAAGGAAGGAAAGGGTTATTTAGCTCACAGTTTGTGGAAGTTTCAGTCCATACTCAGAGGGCAGGGGTTCCTGGTGGCAGAACATAGCAGAACCAACAAGAGCAACAGGGAGGAGTGGCAGCAGGAAGAGCAAGCCTCTTTCCCTCCCTTATAGTATATGCAAGCTACCCACCCCAGGGTGGTTGTAGTGCTCACACCCGTAATCCTAGCATTGGACCATAGATCAGTCATAAACTTCAGAAGCCTGCGCCTATGACTGCATGAGGCTTTGCGGGGACATCCAGACACAAACCATAACATAGGTGTCTGTGGTGCATCTGGTTGATGTCATTTTCAGGTACATGTTTTGTGTTTCCAAATGGTTCTGCTCTGTAGTCTGAGAAAGGGTTATAATTCTGTGCAAAGTGCTAGGCCCCAGTGGGTGTTCTGTGTTAGTGGAGTGACATCCAAGTAAGTCCCCTGATTTTCTCCTTGAAACACCAAGAAAGTTTGGATGCCTCAGGGTTGCTTGTCCAACTGATAAAACTGAAGTGAGCAGAAGACATAGCTTATCATTTTGAGTGAGGATAAAGGAGTATATTTAGCATACTGAGCAAGGGAAACCATATCTATGTGAGTGTAGCTGAGAACATCGCATTTCAATGACCCACAAAACACAGAGTCCATTTTGCTGTTCATAGGTGTCCCTTCTACATGCTGAGACTTTATGTGTCAGGTTTCATTCGTCCTCCAGTGTAAATAAGAATATTGTATACTTAGCTTCTTGGAGATATAAGCCAGTGCTCAGATTTCACCTTGAAAATGACAGATCTCATGCTATTTCAATTCTTCCCCCAAAATCCTGTGTGCAAAATTAATCCCAATGCAAAGGTAATGGGCAGTGGATCCTCCTTTGGAGGTGCTTGTGTCATGAGTGCTGCATCCTTAGGCGTTGATTAATGCCGCTCTTGCCTATCTGCATTCTGCTCTTGAACATACAGCAAAAGTGTTTTCATCAGGTGCTGGTGCCATGATGTTGGTCTTTACAGTGTCAAAGACTATAGGGACATTCTGTTTTTTATGAATTGCCCAGGTGAGGTATTGTTTTATAGCAGTCAAACTAGGACACGTTGAGTGCAGAAAGAGTAATGGCTGCTGCAGCAAGTACCTGAAATACGGAAGTGGCCTTGAAATTAGGGAGTGGACGCTGGAACAATTTTGTTACGAATAATTGGGGTAAAAAGAACTTGCAGTGCTGTAATTGGAACATGGAGGTTGGGCAAGTGAAGGCTCAGAGAAAGAGAAGAGCTACTGAAAATCCTGAATCCGCTTAGAAATCACTTAAGTGACCTTGAGCACAATGTCGATTAGAACATGAATGGCAGAAGCCAGTAATGAATTACTTAGATGAGGAAATATTGTTGGAAACTGGGGAATTGTGCGTTCTTACAGTGCGGCATTTGGCTGGATTTTTTTGTGTCCGAGGACTTATGAAGTGCAAAATTTCTGAGTGACGGACTAGTATATTTGATACAGAAAATCCCAAAGCTTTATTGTTTGAGTGTCTCCGCTGACCTTTCTTAGCACCGTAGAGTGAAAGGTAAAGGCCAGTGGTGACCAGGACACTGGACATTTCTCAGTCTTGCCCTATAAGGAATCAAAGTTTGCCTAGTGGAGAATACCAAGGAAGTGTCCAAGCAAACATGTAGAATATTGGTGTGGACAGAAGGAAGTCAGGATCAAGGCCGTGGAAAAGTGACCCTGAAGTCACTGTGGTGCATTCCATCACTGCCCCAGATTGCTAGCACAGAAGGATTTAGCAGCAGGTCCCAGGGTGTCCTTGGTACCGTGAGACTCACTACTAAGGCCACAGTGGGCCTATTTCCTGCGTTTTCATGCAGCACACTTCAGTCACTCCAATATAGGTTTTAGAGGGCCAATATTTAGTTCCATCCACCGCTTCGAAAGGTACAATAACTTGTCCCCTTAGTCTTGGTTATCCATGGCCTTAGAGTAGAAGAACCTGGGAAGGGTGGGTTTCCGCGCCTGTATTTCAAAGAATGTCTCAATCCTCAGGCCCAACAGAACCCTGCCACAGTGGTGGAACGGTTACAGAGACACTGCTTCGGTGAAGCTCGGGATTATGTGGTTGGGCTGCTGCAGCAATTGACCAACAGGGCGGTATCTAGGTGAGAAATGAAAGGGGGCCCCTCTGTGACCGGATAGTTCCTGTGGAGCACAAGCCGTGACAGCCTCAAGAGCAAGATCCATTCATGGCAGGTGAAGCGCTGGCTGTGCCCGGAAAGTCTCTCGAGGATGGGCTGCCCGGGTTCTGGGCAGAAAGTTGACCCAGTGTACGGGAAATCCGGTGTGAAGTCAACTATGATTCAGTAGACTCTGTTGCCAGCAAGTTCATATTCTACAGCTTCAAGTCAACCATAGTCTGAAAACTTTAAAGGGGAAAATGTAAATTTTAAATCGTGGGCCTTTATGATTAGCTTTAGGGAATCTGACCTCGACATCATCATCTCAGCGAGCAGCTACATGACGTCACTTCCGGGTACTAAACCACACCCGCCTGACTTTAGTGCAAGGTGTTGACAAAATAGCTGTGGGTCCATTTAGGTATTCTGCATCCCATCAGCCCCTCGTGAGGTTATTAAACTATCACAGAGGGTGTGGTGGTGCTCGGCTGGAACCTGTCACTTCCTTCTCCCAGGCCGGTGCGCCACCGTAACGTGACACTCTGCAGCAGACGGGAGTTCCGGTCTCTGGCCAATCAGCGGTGCTGTGCTAACCACCCAATCAGGGACTCTGTTGTATGTAGGTTCGTGTCGACCCAAATATCGCGGGATTTTACTTACGCCACCGCCCTAGCAATTTCCTGTGCGGGGCCGTATTTCTCACTGTACACGACGCCGGACTCGGGGTCCGAGGGGAGGCCCGGGACCCCTGGGATCCCGGAATGGTGAGTTCCGCCGGCACCGGGACCCGCCTGTGCCTCCCCGGGAGAGGGGGGGTCGGGGACCGCGGCCGTGAGCGGCTCCGGCTTCCGATCTCCACAGGATGGAGCTGAGTGTGCCGGGGAGAAAAAGCTTCAAGTACAGTTGCCGTGTTTCCAGGCTGACCGAGCTCGGAGGCTTCCCGCCTCGGCCTCCCGAGCGGCTGAGACGCCGAGTCCGGCTCCGGATGTGTGTGGTCGGGGTTGGCGTGAGCCGGGCGGGGCCTGTAGCTGTGGGCGCTTGCGGCGGGGCCGTGAGCAGCGTTGTGGAGGGGCGCGCCTGGCAGCCCCCCAGTGCGATCGGTCCTTGCGCCTGAGGCCTCATCCTGTCCCTTTCCCTTTCTTTCTGCCCCCCGCGCCTTGAGTCAGGGTCTCATTCTTTTGGCCAGGTTGGGCTTGAAATTGGGGTCCTCCTGCCTCAGCCTCCCCGAGCGCTGGGATGACGGGCGTGTACCACCTTCGCTTTACATGACAGGCTGCTGCGTCCTCAGCTCGCTCTTCCGTTGTCTCCTGGTGCCGCTGGTGACCCAGTGTGCCCCCAGTGGCCGTCTCGGGTCTAGTGAATGTCGGGCCCTGCGTCCTGGAGGGCAGGAGGAGTAGAGGACTGGGGCTTCGCGGGCACCTCCTTGGTGGGCTGGGGCCGGGAGGACTCTCCCGTACTCTTCACCTGAATGGGCGCCCCTTTGGGAAGTCAGGACGTTCCACTCCTTGCGCACACTGACGGTAGCAGTAAGTACGCGATGGCATTGGGAGGACGAGGTGAAATGCTGCCTGGCCCCTGGACTCTCTCGGAGTCATGAACGAGGACAGGGAGAGCTCACCCAGTTGAGGTGGCGTCTGAACCGCAAAGCACCATCCGCTTGGGGCAGACAGGACCTCACAGACCAGTGTGTGCGAGGGTAGGCTGATGTGAAGAGAAGGGTGAGCTCACTTGGTGCTTCGAATTTCATTCAGACGTGTTAACTTCCAGCTCTGTGCTGACTGTCCCTGCGTTTGTTATCCTGTAAAATCACGTTTGGCTTCAGATTTTAACAATAGTTAGAAAGATATGGTAAAATGTACTCATAAGCCAGTAACAAGTGGACTTCAGGGAAAAAAAGTTATGCATTTAGCTTTACATTTCGTTTGTTAACATTTTAAATTTTATTCTCAGGCATGATGCCATACACCAATAATCTCAGCTCCTGGGGGCGTTGAGTCAAGAAGACTCCAAGTTTGAGCCCAACCTGAACAGTGTCGTGAGATCCTGTCTCTAAATTCGAAAAGTAAAAAGGGCTAGGCTAGAGCTCAGCACTCCCGAGGTTCAATTCCAGACCAAAAACAGAATTTTATTTACAAATTATTATTTTTACATTTCTTCTTTATAGTATGTACAGTACATGGTCTGTTCTTTTGTGAGGGTGGGATGTGCTCACCTGTAATTCCGAGGCTTAGTCTTAAGCATTCTACTGGAGTTAGGAATCTCAGAGAAGGGCTGGGATTTAGCTCAGTGGCCCAGCGCCTGCCTGGCAAGCGCGAGGTCGTGAGTTCCATTCCCAGTACTGGAAAAAAAACAAAAAGCAAAACAAAACAAAAAGAGACTCTCAGAGAAACAGGCTTGGTTGTTGTAGGGAAATAAGTACATTTCCTCAAGTCAGTATGTAAACAAACTAATGAATTGCAAACACTTCAAAATATCATTTCATCTTCCAAGGTGAGGCTCTTGTTACAGTGAGTAACAGAACCTTGTTTTTGATACCTGCTTTTCAGAGGCAACCCCCCAAAATGTTCAAATATAATTATTTATTAAGTAATTTTTTGTCGTAAGAATTAAATGACACCTTTATTGTCTGAAAGGGATGGGTACTTGTGTTTTTCTTGTCAAGCAGTGAAACTTGTGGCTAATTTTCCTCTTGCATGTGCATACATAAACACTGAATTTCAGTGGTTTTACTGGAATATTTGAGCACTGGGTATTTTCTCTTTTAAAACAACTGAACAGTCTTTTATGAAGACAAAGGGTGCATGCCTGTGACTTCAAGGTAAGGTTAATGTAGAGCTGTATGCGAAGTCCTGGGGGCCTTTGTTTCTTCTGTGCATCTGCCCTGCAGGTATCCCTGGCTACTCACAGGAGGCTTAAACAGCGCTTGCTACGGAGACTCTGAAAAGCTGGGGTCTGCTTGCTACTGTGGGTTGGTGCGGCCTCTGAGAAGAGTTTAAGGCTGAGGTCTTAGGTTAAGGTTGTCATTCCTGGGGTATTTTAGACATTGTTGCTTAAAACTGAAGGACTGGGAAGCCACCATGGTGATGCACAGCTGTAATTCAAGCACTTGGGAGGCTGAAGCAGGAGGATTACTGCCGGTTTGAGGCCAGCCTGAACTACATAGTGAGACTGTGTCTCAAATATAATTAAATAATTAAGACAATAAGAGTGACTGTTGAGTTAGGAGCTGACTGTTTGAAAGGAGTATTGCATTAGAGGGAAGCCTGAACTCTGAGGTCTATAAGCATCACCCAAGTTAGGCAGAAAATGGCTTTTCTTTCACGAGGAGGAGCAGGCAAGAGTGGAAAGGAGGTGGGAAAGGAGGGCACTGTAGAGAGGCAAGGTCTGCTTCTGGCGCAGAGTAGGCTTTGTTCTTAGGGTGACAGCAAAGTCAGGGTTTTGTGTTAGGTAAGGCCGAGGGTGGTTAAAGACCACGGGACTACAGGAAAAAACCTAAGGAGTTTGCTTGTTTTGTTGTGGTATTCAGTTCAGCTCATTATTGCCAAAGTTGGAAAGCAGGGATGTGTGTGGTGACTACTTGGAGTGGGAAGGTGCTCCCGGGCCCTGGGCATTTCTCCAGAGCAAAGCAGTTGTGCTGGGTGTATACACTGTTAACTTGCTAAATCCAGCTACATAGTTAATAGATGCATTCTCATGTGTATCGTATTTTTCTGTTGAGAACACTTACAGTACCCTGGTCCCGCAGTAGTTTTTCAGAATGCAATAAAAAGCTCTTAACTGTAGTCATCATAATAAAATTTTGATTCCTTTCAGCTCCTTCCATTTCATTTTAACTTTTTTCTTTTTTACAGAGAGTTGGTTTTCTTTTCTCTAGCTTATTTACTCTGTCCTTTTGTCAGTGTGTACAGATACAGTCCAGAGTGTTTACATCAGTTGTGTTGGTCGGCTTTCCTTTTGCTGGGACAGAGTGCCTGGCAGCACGACTGCAGGGAGGAATGATGGTTTTGCTGTTTCAGAGGTCTCATTCCTCAGAACCCTCATGACGGAGGGCACGGTGGAGCGCAGTTGCTCACTTCCTGGCCCCGGGAAGCAGCAGGAAGCATAGGGCTGGGACCCGGCCCCCAGGTTGTGGCCTGTGACCACCCAAACCCTGGAGTGTGCTTTGCTGTCTGTGAAGTGTGCTGCATTCGCTGAGGTTGACAGTCATGATCAGCAGTCACTAGTCATTGATGTACTTGGAGTAAGAAGTACTGTGCCATATTTATGTTTTCTACTTTTTCTTCAGTTTTTAAGTTTCCATCATCTTCTGACTTCTCTCTTTAATTGGGCATTTTATATGATTCTATTTTGACTCCTCTGTGACTAGGTGGGCTTGTTTCCTAAAATTGTTTTAGTGATTGCCCAGTGTTAGAAAAACCTACTCGCAGTGAATATAAATCAAGTTTAACCTAATGGTCTAATATTTCAGGACAGTGCCAGGACTGTAGAAATGCTCCCGCCTCCTCTTGCCGTTCTGCAGATACTTGCTGTCCTTGAGTTTCCTGTGAGGAGCTGTAACCATGTGGTATAGTGTTGATACCATCAGTAAACAAATGCTTGTCTGTTAATGAAGACATGGCAAAACTCTGGACGGTATCTGTACACACTGACAAAAGGACAGAGTAAATAAGCTAGAGAAAAGAAAACCAACTCTCTGTAAAAAAGAAAAAAGTTAAAGTGAAATGGAAGAATGAAGAATAGTTGTGCATTTTATTCTTTTCATCAGAGTTCTTTACTTAACCTATTTACTTCTTCCCACCATCTTGCATGGCAAATATATCAGAGACACGTTCTGTTAATGTTTTCTTTCCCTTCTTCAGGCTGCATGAATTTAACTGGCTCATCTTCATGTTAGTTGTTTTTGGATTTTTTTTTTTAATTGAGACAAGGTCTCACTATATCTTCATCCTAGTTGATTCTGTGTTCTGCTTTCTGGAATCTGCCCTGGAAACCCTGTAGTGTTGATCTCCTTTAACCTGTACCTTACACTTGCATAATTTTCAGTAATTTCAAATTCTTCATTGGTGCTGTTCTGTGGATACATCCTTTCCTGTTCTTCCTTTGTTCTTTCACCATGGGTGCTTCTGCTCCTTCGAGCATAGGTAAGAAGTTTGCTTAAAAGACTTCATGTCATAGTGCATGAGGTTCCTCAGGAATTGTTTCTTTCAATTAGTTTTTCCAGTGAAGAGCCATGTTTCCCTGTTTCTGTGTATTGGTGGTGGGATGTAATTGTTAAGATGACATTTGAGTGGTGTGCTAAGGTAACTTCAGAAATGGGAATCTTTTTCCAGTGTTGAGTTGTAAAGACGAGAGAGGTTGAAGTTAGGATTTTCATTTGCCTCCTCTCCGCCCCGCCACCCAGTCTCCCAGTTGGTCAGGCTTTTGGGAAATAGGTGGGGTTTTTTTGTTGTTTTTAAAAATACAGAACGTATGGTAAAAGAAGAATTTTTAAAATGCCTCCCTCGCTCTCCCCCACTGTCAGAAGCGGCAGTTTTTGATCACAGAGGAGCTGTGGCAGGTTCCTGGAGATAAAACTCACAGATCTGTAGAGCCTGCTAACATGGGGCCTCCCGGAGGTTTTGCATCTCAGGGCTCTTCTCTCGGTCTTCAGTTCATCAGGGACGCTTTACCCTTGTTCTGCTTACGGGTTTCTGTTGTAGTGAGCTGTGCTGCTCCGTGCCTGCCTTTGTCTCTCCAGTTTGTTGAAAATGGGTTGCATCTTATCCTTACTTGTCTGAGTTTCGAAGAGTTTCTGTGTTACAATTGTTTTTTGGTTTTGCTTTGTTTTTTGCTTTCTTCTGGGGTGGGGGAATCACTGCCCTCCTGTGTCCTTCCATGTTGTGGGGAAAAGCAGAAATGTGTGACTCTGTTTCTTGACATTTGGTGACAGTGTTTTGCCTTCAGTGCTCCTTTCCCTTTCTGACACACATCAGAAGAAGCCTGGAAAGAATGGGAACATCCAGGCCTCTGTCTGAAGGAGTGAATTTTTGTGGTACCTCTTTGAATACTTTGGTTCCTGCCCACCTGACGCTCACCTAGCCTCAGCTACATAAGCAGTAATTCTGTGTGTGTGCTCTCGGTTTGGTTCCTTCTCATCCTCAGTGTCAGTATCTGTCCTTAGCAGATCCACACCTCTGCTTAGTGTGAGCAGGGTGTGTGGGTGCTGGCCCGCTCCTGTGTCTGCCTTCCTCACTCCGGCTGCTGGCCTGCCCTTCCTCCCAAAGGCCACCTGTGCACTGTCCCTGCTTGCTAAATGTCTGGAGATCTCTGGCTGTGACGTGCTCTCTTTATCACTGCCACAGCTTTGAATTACCACTCATACTGCCAAGTTACAAGGAGACAACGTACAGTACGGATATTAGTATGTTCATTCCCAGTGTGACCTTTAAATTATTCATGATGGAGTTTATTTTCAAAAGAGTAAGTATAAAGTTTCTGATCAGATTGTTTAATTGTTGTAAATATTTTTGACACCTTCATTAAGATTTAAAACAGGGCCTTGGTGGCGAGCCTGGGTCATCTGTATGCTGCACCATAGTAGACCACATCTTGATTCCTTGGCTACTTTTTCTGTCTTCACACACATATTTCACTTAGCAGTGTCCTTTAGCCACATCCCAACTCTCAGTGAATGAGTGTTAAAGGGAGTGGAAAGAAACCCCGAGATTCCTCCTTTCTTTCCGTGTGTTTTGCATCTGCTGCTGCCTGAAGTGCGTCAGCTCTTGTCCTCCTCCATTCCAGGGCACATTGGGTGCCACTTCCTCAAGGTTACTTTTCGGTGCTGTTATAAACAGTGCTTCTGTCTCAGGTAAAAATGCACAATGTGTTCTTTGGACATTAAAGAGAAACAGTGTGTACATTGTAGTACAGTTCAAAGTACAGGAATTGGCATTGCACCACATCAGTTTGACCTCCAAGCATAACTGTTTGCTTGCTTTCCGTGGTCCTCCACACTTTCTTTTACGTATTTGGATGTTTCCTCTATGAAGGCCATAGATATTGTTTGGTATATGATGTTTTATCTTGAGTTGCATTTATTTTGATATTTTTTCAATCATGTTTTTATTTGTTCTGCTCTACATGCTAATCCTTTTTGTTGAATGTATTGCACTTTGTTTTTTGACCTTTGGTTTTTTACCTCCTTAGTTTTTATAGATTTAAATACTATGGATTATTCAAAATTTATTCAATGTGGCTTCTCAGAGTGTTTAGATTTTATCTTTCCTGTTTTAGTATTGTGTGATTACTGTCCATGCAATGTTGGGAATACAAACCATGTTCCAGGTCTGTTCCTATTTGTGCCTGCTTTGTGTGTGATTGATTTCTGGCACTGTTTGTTGTGCAATGTCTGCTCTCTTGTGAGTCTATTTTTGTTTACATGTGCAGTTACAGGATGCACTTGGTTTTCTAAGTAACCAGTGGCAAGAAGTGATACATAGTATCTGTCAGCACTGCCCATTAGTGTCTTACCATGCAGAGTGTAGTTTGGGAGCATGTTGACTCCCTGTGATGAATTTATCAGAAAATTGCAAATATTCACAAGGACAAAAAGGGAGTTAAACAAGTAACATATTGTTGTCATACACTGAGAACCTCTAGCACCTCTTCACAGTAAATTCAGTGAGGTCCATCCCAATGGCATTTCCCAGATAACAGCAATGATCAGATTTTTAACAACAAAAAAATCAGACTTTGTTCACAACAGTTTCTAATGTTAGCAGTCTCTGGACTGCTGGTATTAGCCCTTTTGTTTATAGTAAGTAGTAGAACTTCCTGAGGAGAAGTGCTGCAGACCCTGTGCACAAGAGGAATTGGGATGACCCAGCAGTTACGTGGTCGTTTGTTTTCTGTTTCTCTTCCAAGTAGTTCTGATCTAGTGGCAGAATTTCTCTATGGGAGAGGTTGTATGTGTAGGTAGAAAGTAAGCGTGACAAGCAGGAGTGGACTATTTGGAGAACATGGCCCCATATGAACTCGTGATGAGGAGAGTGCATCTCCAGTGAGTCTCACCCTTTCTTCTTTAATATATGGGATGATTTAGGAGTCCGTGACCTTTGAGGATGTGGCTGTGAACTTTACTCTGGAAGAGTGGGCTTTGCTGGATCCTTCACAAAAGAGGCTGTACAGAGATGTGATACAGGAAACCTTCTGGAACCTGGCTGCTATAGGTATGGTGACTTTGCTTCTTTACTTAGTCAGTCAAGGAACAGGTGTTTCCTGCTGATCAGTGCTGTTCTGTAAGTCAGAACATGTAAATGGAACATTTTGATGAACATACTGTGATAGCATTGTACCATCAGCCTAGCTAGAATATGTTTTCTATGATCTTGTATATTCAAGATTATTCATTTATATTCATAATTCTTTTCCTGGCTCTACCTTTTAGGAAAAAATTGGGAGGAGCAAAACATTGAAGATGAATATGAAAATTCAAGGAGAAATCTAAGGTAATTTGCACTTGCAAGAGAAACCAAAGTCCCTTCCAATATTGGAAATACCTGAAGCACTACCAGGATGCCCTAAGTGATATTATCTGGTGGTTCAATATTCATAGACATTGTTCCCAAGCTCAGAATTATTCAAAATATTGTCTGAAATTATTTTCAGTGCTTGAGTATAAGATATATATGAACAAAATGTACTTTGTTCTTGCACCCATTTGAACATATCCTGTCACATATGTGTAAATATGCCAATAATTGAAAATGCCTTTGATCCCAAGCCTTTTACGTGAAGAATGTTCAAGTGCATGTAAATATGATATAGGTGTTCAGACTTTATAAAATAGTTAATTTGGAAATGGTACAGAAACATGTATCAGTGCTGGTGAACCGATGTCGTTAGCAGCAGGCTAACCGATGTAAGGCTATCTGTATCATTGAAAGCTCTAAAAGGTTCCCATCGCTGCCCTATGTAAATACCTTGTATTGCTCATAGCTGCCCTTGAGCCATCCTGCAGAGCACTCCATTCATTTTCAAAAGTTCTTGTTAGCATTAAACCAACATTTCTCCCTGTAAATCATTCATAAACACACCCTTAGTAATGTGCTTCTCATTTTTTGCAGAAGTCAAGTGGTAGAGAGTTTCTGTGAATATAAAGAAGGTAGTCAATGTGGGGAAATCTTCAGCCCGCTTCCAGATCCTATTGGGAACATGAAAACTTTTCCTGGAGTAAAACTAGGTGAAAGCCATGTTTGTGGAAATGTCCTTATTGTTCCTTCATTCCTAAATTTGTCCCTCAGGGAGGACACTGAGCAGGAACCGTATGTGTATGAGGAATATGGAGAGATGTTGGATAAATTTGAGGAACCCGGGAACGCCTTCCGTTTTCCCCAGTGGTTTCACATGTATGAAAGGACTCCAGCTGGAGAGAAACCCTATGAAAGTGAAGCATGTGATAACTTTAGGTGTTTCAGTTCTCTTCAAAACCATGAAAAGCTTCTCTGTGGAGAGAAACAGCATGAATATAAGCAATGTGGGACACTCTTCAGGAGTCACAGTTATGTAGGTAAGCAATGTAGGAACACCTTCACAAGTCTTGCGCACAAGCAGAGACCCACGATAGCTCATACTGGAGATAGACCCTATAAGTTTCAGGTGCCTGATAAGGCCTTTGACGGTTCCAGTTCATTTCTCATGTACGAAAGAAATCACACTAGAGAGAAACACTATGAATGTAACCAATGTGGGAAAACTTTCGCTTTTTCTAGTTCTTTTCGAAGACATGTACGAACTCACAGTGGAGAGAAACCCTACATATGTAAGCTATGTGACAAGGCCTTCAGTTGTTCCAGGTCTCTTCAAAGACATGAAGAAGCTCACAATGGAAGGAAACGTTATGTTTGTAAGCAATGTGGGAAAACCTTTAGTTCTACTAGTTACATTCGAATACATGAAAAATCTCACACTGGAGAAAAACCTTATGTATGCAAGCAGTGTGGGAAACCCTACCACATTCCCAGATCTCTCAGAAAACATGAAATAACTCATACTGGAGAGAAACCCTTCGTATGTGGGCAATGTGGGAAAGCTTTCCATTGGTCCAATTATCTTCGAGTACATGAAAGAGTTCACACTGGAGAGAAACCCTATATATGCAAGTATTGTGGGAAAGCTTTTAGTTCTTCCAGTTATATTAAAATACATGAAAGAACTCACACTGGAGAGAAACCCTATGTATGTAAGCAGTGTGGGAAATCCTACTGTGATTCCCGTTCCCTAAGAAGACATGAAAGAAGTCACACTAGAAAGAAATCCTGCATACGTAAGGTAGGAAGGCCTCCAATCTGTACAGTTCCCTTCACAAATGTGAAAGAACTGGCCCTAGAGAGCAATCCTAAATACAGAAAGGGAGAAGGCATCATTAACACAGGACCTTTCTAGGAACATGGAAAGGCACATAGAGAGAACCATAAGTTTGTAGTGTGTAGGAATGTGTCTAGTCCTTTGGTTCCACACTGATATGAAACTACAGAATATGGCGGAGATTACTCGAAGAGATGTGAAGTCTTCAAATGATCCCCATGTAAAAAGGCACCCTGGGTCAAAATTCTGTGCGTGTGAAAAACCCATGAAACTTGCCAGTTGTAAAAATAGTTTTAGAGTCCTGTGAAGAGTGCTTACGTATGTAGTAGAATTTTGTAAATGAGAGTAATATAATGAGGTCGATGCAAATTAATTTGTGTACAGTGCTCCAAAGAATATATCACCTGAAGGAAATGTACTAAAAGTTACACATGTGTTATGATTATCAGTAACTCATTACGGAAGATCTCTGGCTGTGTAAAAGTTTTCAAGATTATTTTTTGAGACAGGATCTTGCTGTGTTTCTAAGGCTGGCCTCAAACTGGTAATCCACCTGTCACAGCCTCTGTGAGTAGCTGAAATTACAGACATACTCCACTGTGCTCTTTTTTTAATGTAATTGTTCTTGAAAACAAACACGGAAGTGACATAACAAGTTTTCTTTAAGCAGTATGGTATAACTTTAATAGGTAGCATTTTTAGGCTTAAGTTTTATGTCATTTTTTGAATAATGTTGTGGTTAATTGACTATTGAAACATGAATTTTTTTAAACTGTTGGGTTTTTCCTACTGGCCTGATGTGGCTGGTTCTGAACTCTGTGTGTGTGTGTGTGTGTGTGTGTGTGTGTGTAACTTTGTATTTCATGAATAAATTGCCTTTGTAGGTGATTTTTATATTTTTTGCTTTTGATGTATATTTTTTCAAGCAAGGTTTCTGTACATACTTTTTAGAAAGCTTATGATTTCAAACATCCTATAGAATAACAGTGTTATCATATTCATTTACTGAGGTGATAGTTACAAATATCACATTGTAATATGACATTAGAGCAAGATTATAAGTTTATCACATTTGCTGTTGAAAAATATCACTTACTTATAACTACAGATGTATCTTTCCCTATGGAAATTTTACTTTTCATGTTTATATTCTTATAACTTGTGTTTTGACTTGTAATTTTTTCACTCATCATAGCCAAAAAGTACAGCATGCTGGTATGACTGATGTCTTGCCAGAGTACACCAGGGTTATGCCTCTTGTGGTTTATGGTGTAAAGTCGTAGCATAATAAATCTATCCGTACACCATAACTGCCTCTGTGGTTTATCAGTGAGAGCAGTTTCCATTTCTGGTGGGATTTGCATTTGTTTTAGAGGAAATGATTGCTGTTTGGTTCAGTAAGGCATCTCCCGCTGGGGTGCACTAGGATGTGAACTTAGTTCTGTCTTTGACATTGTCATAGTTCTTACCTTGAAGGCTGTAGTAATGAAGTGAAGGAAAGCTAATGTATGAGAAGTACCAGCCAGTCACATTATGGAGCAGAGAGAATTGCACCCAGTTGTGTGTTTCATCAACTTTAGATAAACATATGTAGGATTTCTTACTATTTTGTCTCATCTGTATTTTCTTCATGCGTCTGAAGAGCATTGTCTGATGTTCAGGGTATGTGACATGTCTTTATGAGACTCGGTCGTGTTGTGAATGTGAGGCCTGCTCCAGTTTTCCTTAGCTGGTTTAGGCCTTTACGACTTTGCTATCTAAACTAAGAAGTATTTCCTAAAGTGTAGTCGGCTCTTAAAAGTACAGATGCTTTTCAACCTAGGGTGGGCTACAACCTAGGGCTACAATTTCATAAACTCGTTGTAATGTCAACACTTGAAAATACATTACAGGCCTGTTCCACCGAATGCCGAGTCTGAGTCACCCTAGCTTTAGTAGGCTTCAGTCACTCAGATTTACCCACATTTGGGAAGAATCATCTACTGCAGTGTCTTCTCTGTGGTACGGTAATGACTATATGATTTTACACTCCTGAGCACATGGGAGACCAGAATAGCTCACTGTCCACCCAGCCTCATAAGGAAGCGTGATCCTGAGTTAGGCATGGTGGCATATACTGGTAATCGCAGCACACAGGTGGCGGAAGCAGAAGGATTGCTGTGAGTTCAGTTCAAGGCTAGCCTGAACAGCAAAGTGAGACCCTGTCTCAACACCTTCCACACAGAAACAAAGTCAGAGGTGGCACCTGACAATATATTCAAGGTGGGGTGTATCTCTGTTCTGCATGAAAGTCAGTGCATGAGTTAGGGTGTCATCACTGGTCTTTATTTTCCATATCCAGCTCCCCTGGAGTCCTGCAGCTGCTCGTGTGTTGGGGTAGGGAGTAGGGAGCACTGAAGACAGTCCTGCCTGGTGGGATTGACCGTCATGATTCTGTACAACGTATGAGTATAAGTCCATCGTCTTTGTAATGACACATTTTAGTGCATGTGATAATGATCTCAAGTTTACACACGTGACTCTGGAACTTGAGATTTCTCAGTTCTTTGGGCCACAAGTGTCTTAGATGAATCTGGTTGACACCATTTGAGGACTTTCAACTCCGTTTGGTTTGTTTTTTTTTTTTTTCTTTTCTTTTCTTTTTGAGACAGGGTCTCGCTATGCAGTTCAGGCTGGCCTTGAGCTCACTTTGTAGCTCTAGGCTGGCCTCAAACTTGGAACGATCCTCCTGCTTCAGCCTCCCAAGTGCTGGGATTACAGGCATGTGCCATCGTGCCCAGCTCTTCAACTCCCTGTTCTATACAGCCGTATCATCGTGTTGCTGGGCAGAGTGTGCCGGCACCCCCATTTTGAGAAGGGTTATTGTCTTGTGTATCGTGGCGTTTTCCCATGAGGGTAATGAAATTCACATCGACTTCTGATTTGATTCCAAAAGGAGTCTTGGTGCTTTAAGGTTATTTATCCAAGTGATTATTGAAGTGAACAGCAGGTTGAACTTATTTTGAATTATACCCAAATTTAGTGGGAAAGGGGCTGTATTTTACATCTCATGGTGGAATATTTTTACTGTTTCTGTATGAAGTTAGCTGGGGCACTCTATTTGAATGGTCCACAAAGCCCCCAGACTTCTGTTCTTTCCACAGGTGTTGCTTCTGTGTGTTTATAACATGTTATGGAAGATGAGGAGATGTAACTTTTTTTGTGTAATATTAAAGGAAATTTGTTTGTCATCTGTTTCATTTATGAGTTATGTTTCTTTCATTCTGTTTATATTACATAACTTAAGTATTGTTAGTAACTCAAGATGATCCTCTCTGTTTTATTCTCCCGAATGTTTCCCTCTTACAGAGAATGAAATAATCTTCAGGGAACACAGACCTTTCAAAAATCACATACCTCACAGTGGCGAATCTGTTAATGTCAGCTACTAACATGTTGGCACATGTCCTCAGCACTGTCACAAATGTTGACTCAAGCAACCCAAGTGTTGTGTTTTTATGCAGTTTTTCAAAGGTGGGATTGATTCTATTTTAGTAGCACTCTTATCAGTATTAGGTGACATTAGGCATGGATATGATATATGGGGTTTTTTTTTGATATATGGTTTTGTAACAAAAATACTTTGATTTTATTGATATGAAAACTACTTATTTTGAGACATGCATGTTTTGTGTTTGCCATTTCTCATAAAGCAAGGTCAAAATGGAAATGAGAAATCCTACTCTCTTAAATGAACTGAAGTTGAAACGTGAGACTTACCCAGGGTTCCACATGCAATTCATTCCTTTGCTGTGAGATTACTACCCAGTTCATTTACAAGCTCACAAACTTCTGTTATGCAGTACCTTGCAATGTGAAATGTTAATGTAAGTTACTCTTTCTTTTCATGTCCTGCTATCTCCTCAAGTTTTATAGTTCTTTTGGATGTCTTACACAATGTCAAGGTAAGATGCTGGGTAAAAAGTATTACAAAAAAGGATACTTGTTTTAAAAAAATGTTTGTAAAGTTCTGTGAATGCCACAATCAGATTTAATTCATTCTTGAGAAGGACTGTAAGAAACAAGCAGCTCAGTTGTAGGAAGGAGTACACCGGAAAGTTTTCAAGACTCAGATGGTAAAGAAGTTTGCATGATGGTGTCCAGCATGGGCCTGTGTGTTGGCAAGAAGCCTGACCCTACTCACAAAACTCCTTCAGCGGGGAGGCGACCGTGTGTGCTGCTTTGCTGAGGACTGTCCTTGATGGTGCTAGTTTCTCCTGTGTAATGTCTCTTAACGGCCTCTGTCTTTTGAGCAAGTTTTCTGTATTTGTAGGGGAAGTGTATATGGGGATCATTATATGTAAGCTGTATTAGTTGAAATCAACTTTAATTAAATAAATTTTGTAGAAAAGTTGCATAAAATACTGCTTCTAGGAAAGATCAAGTCTCTCACCCTGACGTGTCATGGTGCAGGGTTTAGTTGTGCTCATTCCTCTAGCGATCAGAGTGAACATAGGATTAGAAATACCTGTGCCAAAGGCAGCTTCTGTCACAACAGAATTGCCAAGACGGACTTTCTATGACGACCGTACTTGTTACGCAGCTTTTTTCTCTTTTCATTTTTATTGCTACCATCTTGGTTTGATTTTTTTAAAATTTATTAATTTTTTTTGAATCAGGAATTGAACTCAGGACCTCATGCTTGCCAGGCAGGCACCATACAACTGAGCTATATCACTGGCCCCTTGATTTTTAAAATTGTAGTCATTTGCTTTGTGGTGTTCACAGCGTCCATTTTAATTTATACAAATACAAATCTTTCTCAGTTATCTTTTTTCTCGGACATTCTGAAATCATGCCTCCCTCATTTGTTGAGCTTTGCTCTTCAGTAATCCGGTCTTAGCACAGGCAAATGCCCCTTTTGTGAACTTGCCTCTTTACTCTTCGCTTTCTACTAAGTTTTGCCCACCCATCAGTTTGTACTTTGAAGCCCAACTCTGCGGTGTGATAGAATTTGGAGGAGAGGCTGTGTGAGGTACCTGAGGCTATGTCTTACTCTCCCTGTTGCTGAGGCGCAATACCCAACATTCCAGAACTCTTGAAGAGAAAAGGTTTATTTTGGCTTAAGTTTCAGCAGTTTTATTGCACGGCTGGCAGGCTCAGAAGTGGTACGACGGAGGGGCCTGTCATGGAGGGAAGATGCTCTGTGGCCGCCAGGAAGCAGACACGAAGGGAGAAGCCAGGGAGGGAGACACTACCGGTCACCTCTGCTACAACCACCTCGAGCAAGCAGGCCCCACCGCCCAACGGCACACGCAACTCCTGACCTCACTCGTGGACGTGCACCGAGACCCAGCACCTTCCGGAGCCCCATGTGGCGTGCAGCAGAGTTCTGGGGAGCTCCTGTATCCAAGCCCTGACGAGTCACATGAGTGCCCAGGGGAGAACCTCACTCTGCTGTGAGAGGACACAGCAGAATGTTTCCATGTACAAGCCATAAAGGTGGCTTTTACTAGGAGCCAGAGCAGCAACAGCCCGGAGCTTTCCAGGGAGCTTTCCAGGCCGCAGAACAGGTGAACGCCTGTGTTCTGTGGGAGTGTGCTGGTCTTGGTGTTGTGTTGTACTAACGTGAGCAAAGGCACTCATCCAGCCTGATTTCCCCACAGTAGCCACACACTATATTCTGTGGTCCTTGTATATCGGTCTCACTGCCGTGGCTCCAAACCCTTTGATGAAGTCATGTCCACTGATGAGTACTAGACTTCTACATTAAACTGATACCGTCTAAATGATATGCAAGCACAAGCCCATACACATAACATGTACACATGTAATTCTGTCTTAGTTTGTTGTTGCTGAGACAAAATACCTGATGTCTAAAGTTAAGGGAGGAAAGGTTTAGCTTACAGTTTGTAGAGGTCTGAGTGTGTAGTTGGCTGACTCCAAGGTAGGGTGGTGGGGCAGAGGAGCATTGCAAGTGCAGTTCATGGAGCCCACAAGGTAGCAAAAGCAACAAGGGGGCTTAACAGCATCTTTCTGCCCCTTTTATACTCACGTGTGCTACTGGGATTACAGCAGTGCCAAAGCAGTCACCAGACTGATTTAGTAATCGCACGCCCTTAATCCTAGCATTGCACCTCGAATCAGTTACATACTCTAGATCCAGGCGCCTCTGAAAAAGCCTCACCTATGACTGCATGAGGCTTGGGGGGGTCATCTAGACACAAGCCCTAACAGATGCCAACACATAAAACTTATTTACTAGCTTTTAAAAAGTCACACTGTCGGCAAGATCTTCCTCATAGTTTCAGGCAATACTTAATTCCTAAATTTGCCTTCCAGATGTAGGATTCCTGCTTGTAGCTGCATGAGAAATATGAAGGAATCCAACCACTGCCATCCTTGGCTGAGTAGAGGCCACCTGAAGCCTCTGCCGTCCCCTCAGGCATCGTGGGTTAGTGAGGCCCACTAGCCACAGCTTTTCCCGGTAACGCCATCCCGTTCTCCAGCCTCCTCCTGGCAGGACCACCGCCCCCTGCATTTCTCAAGCTTTGTCGCTAGCAGATAGCCGCAACTCCTCACTGAACGTTTTCCCTCAAAGTGTGCATCTCAGAGGAGGTCCTGCCTTACAGGTCTTAGTCGATGTGAAAAGCTCTTGCTCCAGGTTTTAAGACATTTTCCACGGTACTAAAATTTAGACATAGCTGGCCAGAAGTTTGCACGTTTTATCTTGGCTTTATTGATCAAGGCCTCTAGTATGGGGTGGGGAGCCAATTTGGAAATAATCCTCCCCAGTGAGACAAATACAAAGGCAAGCCATCAGTAGTCATCTGGTTTTTCTAGTTGAATGGAGGTGAGAAAAAACCAACAAATAAATAAATATCCAGCAAATAGACGTGTTGATAAATGCAGGCAGGCCTCGTGTAGTGACCAGGCTCATTCCTGTGCCAGGTCATTAATAAACTTCTCTGTGTGAGAAATTGTACGTAGTACGTACAGTACAATATTCAGAACAGAGACATGGTCAAAGTCATCTCCAGCTTGACCTTGCTTTTCCTTGCACAACTCTTACATGCAGGACGTTAATGAGAGGCGGCATAAACTACAGTGCTGTGCAGTGCAGCGAGCAGAAGGTACAGTCCTGTGCTGTAGAAGAGGCTGCAAGCCACACTGCTTGTTCCTGCATCAAAGGTCCGAGTGTGGGTCACAAGTTTGAACAGCTGTGAAACAGGTAGGTTGTTAGATGAGGAATATCTATTTTGAAACAACCAGTTTAGAATGATCCAAAAGCTGGTGGCCAAAATGAGGAAAATTTAAACCCCAGTAAACACCCAACATGAGCCAAGTAGCTGCTTGGTCAGTAGGCACAGAGGCTCTGCTGTGGTCATCACTGAGCCTGAAAAGGCAAGAGTAGCTGTGGTACTATCCTGGCCAAAGGTACCCCGAAGGATCTTCCCAGGGGCTGCTACACAAAAGCAGGGTGCCCCACGATCACAAAGTCAGCTTTTCCCAAGCCACAGGTAGCTAAAACCTCCAGGGAGCTATGGAGTGGTACAGACATGTTTATTCCTGAGCAAATCGCAGCTGCTCTCTAAACACACCCCAATGTCTCTAGCCTCTTGAAGTCTCAGTCTGAACTTTCCTGTCAGACAGTGGTTAAAGAACTCTGAGCTCCAAATTGGCTTGTAAAGAGGCCTCAGCACAGCTCAAGGCTTACAGGGGCTGACATAAGCCCCCAGGTGAATTTATGAAAACCCCCAAGGTAAGGCAAAGGAAGCAAGTGGCCTCATGTCTCTGCAGGGTAGATTTAAATCTCCAGAGGAATGCTGCCTAGAGGGTGTTGTCTTGTCCCAGGCCTGCATTTCTCAAAACTGCTACTACCCGATGGGAAGCTCCCTGGCCACCCTCCCCGGCCCAGCTCTTCGAGTTTTAAAGGGAGATCTTTTGTGCCTTGCATTCATATGGTGGAGAAGGCATAGCTCGGGTGCCCCCGCATAGAATCTCACTGCAACATGTCCACTTAGTTGTGGGGAAAGGACTGATTGCTAATGGATTGATTACTGATGGTCGGCTTATGATCCCCAGCTGAACGGAGTGCACGTGGTGCTGGGTGTGGGAGGCTCGCCCGAGGGTTGTTACCATCAGCTGAGAGGCAGCATTGGAAAGGGATAATGAATTTCTCTTGTTGGTTTTAGTTAGGTTCTTTGTTCTAATAAAAGGTGATTGAGATGAGTGGGGCCGCCGCAGTCTGAGAGACTGTAAGCCCCTTGATCCCAGATTTTTAGCTCTCTTGTTTTTCTTGTCTCTTTCACTTTTTCTTATTCATCCGTGGGCACCTCGTTCTCGGGACCTGTCACTACAGTTAATACCAACACTTAGTATACATCTTCTGGATGGTACTGAAACCTGCCTGTCCTGGAATAAGGGTAAGCAGAGAAAGATAAAGCACAGCAAAGCAGTGCTGCAGTGACTACTCCAACGAACACGAGGAAATGGTTCTACCTCTGCCTGTCTTCTCATACCCCAGCAATAACTCAATCGCTGTCTTTCAGTAATGTCATTCCACTCGTGAAGGAGAGCCCCGCGGGTCTTCCTCACCACTGAGCAGTCTCTCCCCTAGTCTGTCGTGTTATAAATTCAGTTTCCCACACGTAGTACTTGGAGGGCAGATCAAGTGTCACAGTGATTTCTTGATTTGAAATCTGACCTGAGCTGAGGAAAACATGCAGCACCATAGGGATGCCTCCGATCACAATGGGGCCCCAGCCTCAGGGCCCAGAAAACCTCTGAGATCCAAGTGTCTTGTAGTGTCTTGGGGTGTGTGACCATATTAGAAACATATTCTTTGGGGACTCTTGGGTGTATTTATTAAAACATGTTTCTCACAATGTCCCAGAAACTTATCCAACATTCAGAGCTACAATTAAGTAGTTGAGTGAAAAGATCCCAGGAATTCTAGGAAGCAATGCTTTGGACAATGTCAAATGAGATTCTAATGAGTGACTCCTTAGAGCGTTTAATTCACTGAAGTGCAACTTCATGGGCAGTGTGGAAAGTGGTATCTGATGGCTTTATTGCAGCATCTCTATAAAGACTTTATCAGACATGATCTCTTTGAGGCAGGTTATTTGGACAGTTCTGCATCGTATGGGCGTAGTGAGAGAGGAAGACTGTGTCCATGGTTTTGTACCTTAACGCATGTTTTATCCCTTTATCACTGAAGTCTTTCTCTGTCATTGTACTGTATTTCCCAACAAATAAGACCTACCCAGAGAATAGGCCCTAGTATGATATTTCATTGTGCTTGTAATATAAGCCCTACCCTCAAAATAAGCCCCAGTTAAGATCATGAGCCAGATGGGCACATTTACAGCATGCAGCCATTCCAACACAGGACTACTGTTGAATCATAAAATAGTATTAATATACAATTAAATAGCAATAAGTAATAGTATTGACATCAGTACTTATAATTGTTTGTAAATACTCAAGCAGGCATCTTTGGAGAAGAGGTAAATGCCTGTGTAAACAGATGAACTCGAGATTTACTGCCTAGTGACTAGAGTACAGACACAATGCACAAATAACATACACACTTGAAATTGAACGGATATGGTTGTGTCTAATATGAATCTTCATAATTCAGTCTGTCGTGCATTGTAAGGGATGTACTTAATGCAGTCATATGAAATAAATGTTTTCTGAATTTGGGTGCCTGCAACATTTTGTGACTTGTGTGGACCTTTTTTTTGAGAGAGTGTCTCACAGCGCAGCCCAGACTGGCCTCAAATTTGCTGTGATCCTCCTGCCTTGGCCGCCAAGTGCTGGGATTACAGGCATGCACCATCATGCCCAGCTGCGCTGTCTCATAAATCTGTAGTGAACACTTGGTTTAATGGAAACTTTGTGTAGCCCGACCTGAAGGAGGTCATGGCTTTAGGGAAGGATTCTTGGAATAAGATCACTGACAGCTGTGTTACCAGTGCACTCCGAGCAGGCTGCCTGGACAGGAGGTGCTCATTTAAGGAACGCTGTATTGCTGGGTGGGAGATCGGGGCCAATGGTTCTACAAGACATGGAGTTGCACGAGCTTCGGGCTGCAATTTGGAGTTTGGAGAGTTATGATGATGTTCCAAAAGATGACAAGAGTGTATTTGGATAAATGTAGATCTGGGTATATGAATAAATGTAGATTTGGGTACATGAAAAATAAGATATCCCCAGAAAATAAGCCCTGTTGTGTCTTTGGAGCAAAAATTAATATAAGACCCAGTCCTATTTTCAGGGAAATATGATAGCCCAACCTCAGACTGTTCTGTAGATCTCCTCTCCTCTCCTCTTCTCTGAAGAGTGGCTGTGGGTTTGAGCAGGGCTCCTTGTTCACATTCACTGACCTCCTCTCCGTGATTTAACCCTTTTCCTCGATGGCTTTCACCCAAGCAGTTTCTCATTCTTAAAGACAGAAGCCTCTGTCCCGTGTCCCAACATCACGTTTAACATTGCTGTATCCCTTGAGAATGGGGGGGAAACAATCACCTAGTCCTTCCAACTCTGGGTCAAGCTGTGCATTTAAAATAGTGGTTATTCCTCCATTAGTGGTGCCATGTTTCCCAGTCTGTGTGCGATGCAATGTCCTTGTGCATCTGGGAACTCTCAGTGAGTGCTCCCTGCATTCAGGATACTTTCCGCATGTGAGATTCCTATCACAGTCCCCCAAGGGTGTCTGTGACTCTCCCACTGCCAGGATGGCTGCTTTCTTAGACATCTTTTATGGGATTGAGTGAGTGAAGGTTTTTACACAGCACTCACACTTATGAGACAGTCCAGCTGGGCATGATGGTGCATTTCCCGTGTCCTTAGTATGAATTCTTTCATGTATTTGAAGGGAACTAGAATATCTGAAAGCTTTCCCACAGTGCTCACATATATAGGGTTTCTCTTCAGAGTGAGTTGCTTCATGTCTGTGCAACTGAGTCCCAGTAGGAAATGGTTTCTCATTTTCTACTGAGAGTGTTCATGTCTGTAGCGTTTTTTTCCACTGTGAGTCCTTCCATGGTATACAAGAGAATAGTAGCAGAGTAGCATTTACCACACTGATATACAAATGGTTTCTTTCCAGAATGAGTATGTACACTCACTTGAAATATCCACAAAGTATCAAAGAGTTTCCCACATTGTTTACATGCATACAGTGTATTTCCACTGTGAAGCATTTCATCATTTTCATATGTCTTTATTTGAAGAAGAGATTACAGTGGAATCTGGCTTATCATTTTATCACATTGTGCGCTTTATGTCCATTGAGTCTCTTTAACACAGTTTCTACAAAAAATGGAAATACACTATAGTACTAAGGTTTAAGTTATGAATTACAAGGAGAATTGGTCGATTTATGCAGTGTACAAACTTTTTAGGTAGACAGGACTCTGTCTCATAACCATTCTAACCAGCTAAGATTACTAGCATGTGCCATCATCCCTGGTTCCATATGGCACGATGAAATGCTTTATAGTACTCCTTATGGAAAAGCACAGAGACAAAAACTACTTTGTACTTAGGAGTATTTGCATATATAAATATGTACGCGCTCTTCAGGATTGATACCAGCCTAAAAGCAAAATTTATTATGGTTTTATGGGTAACTTACAGAAAACATAATAGTCATGTCCCACTTTTAGTTTTGGCTTTTGGCTTTTGTTGTGTCACACAGGCTGGCCTTGAACTTATTTTGCAGGGTAGGCTGCCCACATGTTTTAAAGCTAACTATATGAAACAAAGTTTCTGTGCATGGCAATCTGTGGTGTCAGGTCATTGTTCCAGATATTTTATTTTTTTTGGTTTTTCTCCGGTACCGGGAACTGAACTCACGACCTTGCGCTTGCCAGGCAGGCGCTTTGCCGCTGAGCTAAATCCCCAGCCCTGTTCCAGATATTTTAAACACTGGAACATTTTGGATTTCGGATTTTTCTGAAAATTTTTCTTAATGTTACTCAAATTTCAAATTTTCTTGACAGATATTCCCAGAAGTAATGGCATAACACTTCCCAAACATGGAAAAAGAGTTTTACATACACATATGTGAGACATAAAGAACTCCAATTAACCATGACCAAAATAAATTACACCAAAGCACATAATAATCAAGATTCCATAAATTCAGCATGAGAATGGAATATTAAAAGCTGTTAAAGAAAGAAACAAATCACCTATGAAAGAAAGCCCATCAGAATCATAGCAGACTTCTCAACACAAACCCTCAAGTCAAAAAGAGCATGAAGTATTTCAGGTCCTGAAAGAAAACAACCTCCCACCCAAGTTGATGTAACCTGAAAAACTACCTTTCAGAATCAATTGGAGAATAAGACACTTCCATGACAAAAAACAACTAAAGAAATTTATGACCACCAAGCCAGTTCTACAAAATGGTCTGAGGGTATTTTAGAAAAATACAATGAAGACCACAATTCCAAGAACATTAATAAAAAGAAGCCACCAGGCAGGGCAAGAAAGTAAACAGGTGAAAGGAAACCAACAGAAGGAAAATAATATGACAAGGATAAGACAATATGTATTAGTTCTAACCATCAATATAAATGGTCTCAATTCACCAATCAAAAAATACACTGGCAGAATGGATGAAGACACAAGAGCCAACAATATGCAGCATACAAGAAACACATTTAATTGAAAAAGAAATTCATTTACCAAAAGTCAAAGGGTGGAAAACAATACTCCTTGCAACTGGAACCCAGAAAAAAACAGGGATAGCTGTTCTATTTGCAGACAAGTTGAAAATCAAGCCAAGACTGATCAAAGGGGATAAAGAAGGTCACTACATACTTGTTAAGGGAAATCTCCAAGAAAAGATAACAATCATAAATATATATGCACTCAATACAGGTGTACACAATTATATTAAACCAATATTATTGGGCATGAAAAATTAAATAAGTACTAACACAATTTTAATGAAGGACCTTAATACCCCACTGATAGTGAAAAATAGATAAATAGATCAATCAGACAAAAAAACCAACAAATCAGAACCAAACTAAACCTGTAAATAAATGGAATTAATAGATGTCTACACAGAGTTCCCACCCACAAGAAAATATCCATTCTTCTCACCTGTGCATGGGATGTTCTCAAAAATGAACCACATACTAACCCAAAGAACATGCTTAAGTAAATGTAAAGGAATTGAAATTATCCCATGCATATTATCTGACCATATGCAATAAAATTAAATTGGGAGTCAATGGCAAAAGAAACCACAAAAACTCCATAAAGAACTGAAATTTAAAAAGCACCCTTCAGAATAACCAGTGGGTCACAAATAAAACTAAAAAAAGTATGAAACACTTTCTACATCTAAATGATAATGTTGATGCAACATAGTGGAATTTATGAGCTGTCATCAAAGCAGTCCTATGAGGGAAATTCATAGTTGTGAATTCTCATACCAGGAAACCATAACAAACTCAAATAAACAAGCTAACATTGAACCTTAAAGATCTAGAAAAGTGAAATCCAAAGCTTGCAAGAGAGTGGAAATTATAAAGACAGAGCAGAAATTAATGCAATGGAGACTAAGAAAACAGTACAACAATAAAAGAACCAGAGTTGGTTCTTTGAAAGATGATAAACCTTTAGCCAACCATACCAGAAAAGGAAAGAAAAGACTCAAATTCATGCAATTATGAATGAAAAGGGAGAAATCACAACAGATTCTGCAGAAATCCAAAGAAATTATCAATACCTGCTTTGAGAACTTTTACTCTAATAAGATGGAGAACACAGAAGAAAGGGACAAATTCCAGGATACATATGAATCACCAAGTTGAATCAAGAGGATCTAAAAATTCTAGACAGCCCAATATCAGTGAAATTTAAAATGTAATTTGAAAATTTATCACCAAAAAACCCAGGTTGGGACCAGGGATATAGCTCAGCAGCACAGTGCCTGCCTGGCAAGTGTGAGGTCATGAGTTCAATTCCTGGTACCAAAAAAAAAAAAAAAAAAAGTCCAGACCCAGATGGATTCACTGCTGAGTTTTACAAGAAATTTAGAGAAGAGCTAATGCCATTATTTCTCAAACACTTTAATAAAATTGAAAGGGAAGAAATACTCCCAAAGTCATTCCTGAAGCAAGTGTTATGCTGATACCACAACCACAGAAGGACCCTACTAAAATGGTCATCAGGCCTATCTTCATAATAAACATAGATGCAAAAATCCTCAGTAAGATACTAGCACGCAGAATACAGCAAATCATCAAGAAGATTATATACATCATGACCAAGTGGGATTCATCCCAGGAATGCAGCGATGGTTCAACATATGCAGTTCAATAAATATAATACACCATTTCAGCAGTGCCAAGGACAAAAATAACATGATTATCTCAATAAGTGCAGAAAAAGCATTTGACAAACTTTAACACCAATCCATCATTAAAAAAAAATCTTAGAGATAACTGGAATAGATGGTCTGTGTCTCATTTCTAACAAAAGCCATCAATGATAAACTAACAGCAAACATCGTACTAAATGAACAAAAATTGAAAGCTTTTACTTTAAAACCAGGAACAAGACAAGGATGTCCACTTTCACTACTCCTACTCAATATAGTTCTGCAAACATTAGACAAAGAAATTAAGACAAAGAAATAAAAGGAATAAGGATAGGAAAGGAAGAAGTTAAATTACCATTATTCACAGA